TTTTTTTTTTTTCTTTTCTCTTTCTCTCATGCATGTATTTGACCTGGTCTTGAAAGGAAGCTAAATGAAACTACCACAACACTACATGGAAAAAAAAAAAAAAAAGCCTAGGACAAGCACAGTTGTTTTCACTTCCCACTACCCCCATAAAAGAACATCTAATACCATCTTTAAATGCAAGTTAAAGTTTTTATTCTGTTAAAAAAAATTCCGCCCTCTTCCCACAGCTGAAGGAAGAATGTGAAATACTTGTTACGTGAGTAACGTTTTGTTTAGAGTTTAGGGAATTTTTTTTTATATTTATTTTATTTGCACCTTGAAACAGTTAAGATTTTTGATGAGGAATACTGCAATAGAAATAAACAACTGAAAGCAATCCAGATTACATTTAATTTCTTAAAGTGTTCTAAGAATTAATAAAGCTTCTTCAATCTTTCATTCTTGCCTCGGACATGCTGATTTCCATATCTGTAAGCCCAGTTACATTTAGGAAATCTGAGGCTTGTCCACAGTTCCACACTGAAGCTTCTGAGTTTCAACATATGTTGCTGCTAGCATCCCCTAATCCTCTGCATGCCCAAATTCCAGGCTCTGTCAGTCCATCACTTGAACATGACAAACACTTTCTGAGAAGCAACAGTGTAAGAGAGCAAAGTGAAAGGAATAATTATGCCTGAATCTTCCTAGGACAGGCGAGATATCTCTGTGTCCAATCCAGCTGATCTGTAGCAAACAGCCTAAAGTTAGCTGTTCCCTAGGACTCAATATTTCTTTGCACTCAGCCATAGCCTTTAATTAAAAAGCTTACTCTGGAATTCTCACTGTGTATTCCCCCCCCAACTTTTTCAGGTTTTAACTCCTAGTTCTTCAGCTGATTACAGGAATTCAGGGCCTGATGTTCTTTGTCTCAGACTATTTCCCACTCGCACTGTCAGTGGAGTAGGCTACTTGGACAGGATTGTCTAGAAGAGAAATACTATCTATAGCAGGTGTCCTGAGGAAAATTCAACCCCTGAACATAAAGCTGGACCTTGAATTCAAAACATTGTATTCTCCTTCATATTTGACTGTTAGCATTGACTCATCAGAGCAGGAAGTTAAAAATCAGCAGAAAGCGAGAACCTTTAACTACAATGCTCTGAATGAGACACAAGCAAATCCAGGAGTAAAACCATCACCAACTGACAGTGCTAATACCTGCAAACCTACCACTGCAAACTTGAGGAAAAAGAAAGAAAAAGAAAAAAGAAAAAAAAAGGCGGGGGGCAAACAAATAGTGTGGATTAATTTCAGTGTAGAAGGAGATCGGGAGAGAAGCAGAAGAGAGACTTCTGAAAGTTAAACTACTTAGAAGTTAAGAAGTGTTCCTGGTTTAGATCTTGATAATGAGTGTCTGCAAACTGCCCAACCCAGGAAAACCTTTCCCAAATTCAAATGCCACCAGTGCCTGCTAAGAGTTGCTCTTTAAAGGACAGAACAGACAGCAAATTAACATTTCACAAGTACTTACTGAACTAGAAAACACAGTTTTCTGCATGTTTCACATTCACATAGACATTTCCCAGATTACAAGAAATGTCAGGACTGAAAAATAAACCCAGTCATTTGTACATCTTCAGCACACATTTAGATTGTGACCCCAGCTCCCCTTTTCTCGGTCCCAGAAGATGCTGTTTGTCCAGCACCCTGAGCTGTATGGATGGTGTACTCACCAGCTGACTGCTGTACCAATACAGAGATGACTCCTTCAGCACACACCAGAACTTTTTCCATTTGTTGCCAATGAAAGCTCCTTTTTCCTTCTTTTTGTAGAGCCATCCTTGGCAATCGGCTTGCCCCAGCTCTTTACACGATATCCTCCGTCGGCTCATTATAAAGAATCCTGTGACATTAAAAATACAGTGTTCTGCTTGTTTAAAATTGCATTACCAGGAAATATGTTGCTGCCAATTAAAGATATCAACCTTACTTAGCAATCTCAGCAAGTCATCCAAACTGATCTTAAAATATACTTAGAAGTCATTCAGTTTTATAATGGCTGTGGCAGTAACACACATTTAAAGTCATTCTACAATGAATAGAATAGAATGAATAGAAAGCTACAGATAATGCAGACACTAATTAATACTAATAACCATACATAATTTTTGTAAATTAAAAATATATCCTTTGATCCTTTTAAGAGAACCATGCATATATTTTCCTGCACACAGCTGCACTGAAAAGAGTACACTTTAAGTCAGCTAGAGAAAACTATTATGTCAAGTGCATGAAAACCGCTTGTGTCTGTGTGTGTGCGGGCAGTTGATTCTACCTCACTGATTTCCAGCTTTGATTCAATCAACATACCACAAGGATTTAGTCCAAAGGAACAGCCCGTTGTCATTTTTCTCAGAATCAGTGCAAGAATCAGTAGTTAAAAAGCAGCCTTCCACCAGCTGAGTAACAGCAGAAAATCTTCACCCTCCCAAGAATGAGACACACTAAGAAAATAACAAAAGAGCAACACAGAAGAGAGAAAAAAAGAAACAATCTCTCATTACCTTGACTTTTCTTTTTTGTCTTCTGACGCAAGGGAACCTGTAAGAAATGCAGGAAGGAAAGAAAAGAGGAAATTTCAGATTGTGTTGCAACATTTGTGTAGAAAGGGGAGGGGGAAGCTAGAGAAGGACGTGATGGTGATGCTGGTGGTATATGCAGGATGGAAACACATAACCCACTCGCTGCTGAAGGGATGTTAGTAGCTGAAGCATAAAATGTGTTAATTAAAATTGATGTCTATCTAGTTGAGCAACAGCAAGCCTAACTCTATAATACATGTGTCTATCTGCTTCCTGTTTCACACCCACAGGCAGTTCCTACTTTGCTGTGTTTGCCTGAATTATATTCTGAGTTCAGAAGTTAAAAAATAAAAGTTAGGACTCCAACATTTTAGTGCTTCATCACACTTCATGATGGATATTTACAAATGTGGGGAGTTAAATGTGGTAATCACAGGCTTCTGATTACCATTTAGCTCATTCTAAGAAATCCTGGAAAAGAAAAAAAAGTGGATTTTCCACTCTTCTTTTTTAATTTAGTGCAGAGAATGTATTTATTTCCCTTGATATAAGAGTTTCACAATATTTCTTTAAAAAAATTAAAACAATACAAACTAAACAAAAAAAATCACACAAATCTTGCAGATAACTGTAAACCATAAATATGCTACAAGTTTACCATGTCATAGCTGAGCTTCTGTCACTGAAAAAATAATGTGATTGAACTATATTTACTTATCCACAGTCTATATATGTCATCCCACATAAACACATAGAAAATGAAACTAAAACAGAAGATCACAGAACAAAAAAGAGATCATTAGAAATGTAAGGTCTGAATTTCGAAGTAAATTCTCCCCCCTTTTCTTGACTTCTCTTTGCACCCCAACCTTTCCACCTCTAGCATGGGAACAAAAGCATTCACTTTTTCTGTTTTCAGGAAGGTTTTGAAGCTTCCAGATGACAAATTCTGGGTAAAGTGATGTATGATTTAATATTGGCCACAATGTTGCTATGCAAAGCTGGTAGGTACCTCATCCACTGCAGAGCTACGCTATGAACATCTCTAATGCAGCCCCTCTGCCTAGCCATCTGGCTTTTCAGGAAAGCAAAACCCCATTTCATATTATTCTTGAAGGATATGGTGGCTATTCTCACAGGTGAATTAAAGGTGGGTAAAGCTACACCATCTGTAAACAGCAATAAAAGAGACCACTGCCACCAGTATTTCCAAGAGCCAGAACTTTCTCTAGCCAGTGATCTTTGCAGAATGTATCAAGTGCAGAACTGCTTATCGAAGCTGTGTGCTTATCTGGTGCCTATTTGAGATGACCTGAGCAACACTTGTGGGAGGCTTTGCCAGGAATGAATAATATCAGACTCCTGCTTAATCATCACACATTTTTCCTTTTTTTTTTTTTTTTTTTTTTTTTTTTTTATTTCTGCCACTGCCTCTCTCTCTCTCAGACTATTCTCCATGACAACAAAGAAAAGCAATGAGAAAACACATCAGCTTTATTGGAGGCTCCACTGTTTCTCTATCTTACACAGGTGGCCTGTAGTGTCTTCAAAGACAGTAGTGCCCTATTTAAGACAACTAGAACTAATATACGGCCGCAGTGAATCACCAGGTCATGCAGTCACACTAATTACTTTCCTTTACAGGCACCCAAAGTGGTATTAAGAATAAGAAATAGGAAGGAGCTCTTGTTGCTTAAAAACTATGTAGTGGGGCAATGTCACATCTTTACTATGATACTACATTGGGGTCATTTTATCTTTAACCAGCTTAAAGCTGTACAATAAGAACAGTACTGAGACAGGATGTGGCTCTCAGTAGACAACCCAGGAAGAAGCAGATCTTTCCACTAACCTTATTGATGATCTAAAGCAAAATAACATGTTCTATGGGCTCATCTGTCAAGAAGGAATTAACATCCACATCACATAAATCATGTTAGGGCCTGCTTTATACACAGACTGAGGAAAAGACATGACCTAGCGAGAGCTCAGAATAACAAAATGAATTTACAAATGTGCTTTTACTATTCAGTGGCAATGATGATATCCTGCTGCAAGCTGACAGGGGTGATGAAACCTCATGTCTTTGTATTTTGTGGGAAGAGTTGGCAAATTAATGGGGGAATGAAAGGCAGTTTCCCCAGTCAGCACTACGTTTAGTTTGCCTGGATAAAATTGGTGATTAATCTTTAATAAAATCATTGTTAAGTGAGATTTCATGAATTAAGATACATTTCCGCTTTTCTTTACCAGTATCCTGAAAGCTTAAGTACATTTTCAACAAATTAATCCTAAACCTAGAATTCAGTAATTTTTAAATATTTTTTGTGCTGTTCAGAAGTCCAGCATTGTCTTATAAAAAATATCTGATTTGCTCTGCACAAGAAAAACCTCTAATCCCAGACTACAGCAATGAAATCTGGTGTAACTCACAAAATTGCCTTCCCAGATTTCGTTGATCTATGAATAAACAAAAGCAACCTTTTTATCGGAAGCATTAGTGTTTGGAGTCAGATATTTTATGAAACAGAGAGTTTCCAGAAAAACTATTTGCATCGTAAACAAATAGAGTTAAATAAATCTACCACAGCACTCATAACATGCCCCAAAAAAAGGGTTTGGATTCTGCTTTCCACAAAAATACAACACGTTGGCAAGTGTCCAGTGGCAAACCTTTCCTCAAGAAGTAAATAAAAGTTTCCTCTTCCAAAAACTGGTTTATGAGAGTCAACAGTCTTTCATTTCAGTGGACCTGGGTGAACTCTGATTAAGAGATACCTCTCAGTTTCACTCCTACCAGGAGACATTAACACCAGTGCAGTACAGAGACAACTGTGGAAGGCAGAGTTATTACCAGTAAAACCAATGGCACTGACCAGGGGTGTAATAGCAGTTACAGGTGTCAGTGTACTGTAACTACCAGACATAGTCACTGGTTCAGTTTCAGATTGTTCCAAATGTCATGATTTTACTATGCTTCTGACAGTGGTGGAAGTGCAATTTTCTGATGGTAAATTATTTATTTCATTATCACAGGTTCAACTGAAAAGAAAAAAAGCCCCAGATTTCTATCTCTTGTTGCCAGGGGAAATCCAAGAGCAATAAACCTCACAGAGCTCTGAAATAAATGCAGCATTACAGTTTTTTGCAACTTTAGGAATGTTGTCACTTTTGTGCAAGTCTGGTAACACAAGGCAGGTTTCAATCTTTGCTTTGTATGTTTTGATATACTTTTAAGTATACTGAGACCTCAGAGCTGGATAGGATGTGCAAGTGATCCTGCAGGACAATGCAGGCTTCAAGCTTGATATTGCTCCTCTACTTGGAAAATACACCCATGAGCCAGTTGCAAAGAGACCTTTACAGCTGAGCATTGTTCACAGCCAGTTCTGTGCCAGGCAGGGTCCACTGATGGGTAAAAAAGTACAACAGAAGTGACAATTGCGAGGGACTTTTATCAGTTTAGAGATCATATTTTTCCACAAAATCACAGTGTGGCTGTGCTTGGAAGGGACTTCTGGAGGCCATCTAGTCCAACTCCGCAACTGACGCAAGGACACCTAGAGCCGATTGTCAAGGGCCACATCCAGACATTTTTTAGAATCTCCGTGGACGGAGACTCCACAGCTTGTCTGGGCAACCTGTGCCAGTGCTGAGTCATCCTCACAACAAAAAAGTGTTTCCTGATGTTCAGAGGGAACCTCGTGTGTTTCAGTTTGTGCTCATTGGTTCTTGTTCTTTCACTGTGAAATGCTGGGGTTTGAACCCCAAGCCCCCGAATTAAGGTTGACATATGGGTGATTCCCACAGCCCTTCATAAAGAGGTGGTGAGTTTGCCTTATAGCTTCCCCCCAGGGTGCGGCCGGCCCTGCAGGGAGAGCCAGAAGGGAAATGAGCCCCAGGGGTCCCTCATTGAGTTGACAAAGGTCAGGTGTCCTGCTTGGGGATAAAAGCTGGGACCACTCGCAGGGAGTCAGGAGTGTCTGTCTGTGGAGTGCACTCCACAGAGCTTCCTGGTTCAGGGCAGACCTCCTGACTCTACCTGGAGCTGGGCCCTGGTCTGTCTAGGCCTTTGCAAACACGGGACGCTGGGGTGAGAGTTGCCATGTGGGCACCCTTTTCTTACGTGTTTAACTGGCTGGTCTGGCTGTTTCCCATGCCAAATATGGGAACCCTTGGTTCACTGTTTATACCACCTGTTGTGGGCCGGGTCATGTCATTTGTGGGATCGTTGGGGGTGGCGTCGATCATGTATGAGCTTGTTGACCTGTTTGTACCCCCGGCGGTCATTCATATAGTAACATTTCTGTCTACAATACAGTCTGCATATTGGTTCATCTCCCTGCTGGTGTTATCATTTTTGTTGGGCCTGGTCATTGGCAAAACACACTGGAAAAAGGGCACCACTGAAAAAAGCCCGGCTTCATCATCTTTGCACCCTCCCTTCAGATATTTACATGCATTAATAAGATCCTCCTTAGTCTTCTCTCCGAGCTGAATAGTTCCAGCTCATTCAGCCTTTTTTCATATACTACATGCTTCAGTCCATTAATCATCTTTGTGGCCCTTCTTTGGACTCTTTCCAGTATGTCCACATCTCTCTTGTACTGGGGAGTCTGGAACAGGGCACCATTTTCCATAGGTGGACTCACCAGCACACACAAGGGACTCACCTCCCTTGATCTGCTGGCAGTATTTTGCCTAATGCAGCCAAGGCTACCATTTGCCTTCTTTGCAGCAAGGGCATGTTGCTGGCTCATGTTCAATGTGACATCTACCAGGACCTTTTCTGCAAAGCTGCCTTCCAACTGGGCAGTCCAAGCATAACCTGTTTTTCTCTGGCAGTATCATTTGTGCTCACATAGAATAAGCAGGAGGTAGAAGTCAGAGGGCTGGACAAGCTCTGGCAGTCCCTCCAAAACATCCTCGATTCTGGTCCCTGCCAGGCAGCAAACCTCTCTGAATTGTTGATTGGGCCTACAGTTGGGTGCCTTTGTCCCCCACAGCAGGGATTCACCCTTTGCAATGACTCACTGTTTCTCCCCAGTAGCCTTGCATAGTTTACAGTTTGATGAACCAAGTCCTTTGGTAGTAGGCATATCTGGTTCCTCTTCGATTTTGAGGGCAGTCAACCTATTCTGAAGCTGCAAGTTCTTAGATAGGGCAGGAGCCTTCTCCATGATGACTTCATCAATTTCCATCCTTCCCTTACTCCAGAGGTTTTCCTATCTTTGACTGTGGGGGTAGACACTGCCTGCTTCTCCATTGTAGGTGAGGACTGAGGTCTTCAAGCTGTCATGTCTCAAAGTAGATCCTATCTATCTCCTTTCCTCCCGTATCTCCTCCACTTGGCAACGCAGCTCCTCCAAGACAGCACACCTTCTGCAGGGCAGAAGGCCGTATCTCCTGCCCTCATAGAGGTCCCAGGCAGTTCCTGAAGGGCTGCATCCACTATCTGAGGTTTAGTCTGTCTGGAAGCATCTATTGGGGGAACTACACTAGCATCTATTGGGGGAACTACACTATTGCCACTGTGCCTAAGACTGTTACAGCAGCACATTTTCAACAGAATACCCCTTACTTCACTCCTCCTCCACACCCTGCTTCACAAACTGCTGACTGTTGGCTGTGCTCTTGGCCTGGCTCTTAGGTAAGTCCCTCCTGAGCACCAGTTAAAGGGAGCTTGACCCTAACTAACCAGAGGGAGATGCATCAAAGGCTACATGCACCCTGGGTCAAAAAACAGTTGATCACACTCATTAAGAAGTTGCTAGAGTTTCCTTGGGCCCCCTTACCTTGTAGTCACCTGACAGCAAAGATTTGCAAATATTTATCATGGAGGCTACATGCTTCTAGCCTCCCTTCCAAATGGAAACAACCATTGATGGGAACCAAACTCGGATGAGCAGCATCCCCTTGGGGTGACTAGAGGATCACCTCAGGGGAAGTTTGTCTAGTTACCAGGGGGCTTGCAGCCTGAAAAATCTCCAAGAGAAAAAAAAATGGGGCAAAATGGGTATGTAAGGCTGTTTGGGGGGAAAGAAAAAATATTGTTCTACAAGCAAAAGCAAGTCTAGTATTTAACACTAGACTTCATGCCTCATGGAGCTCAACTCAGAATGCATGAATCTGAGAAAGCACCAAAGGCAGCTGTGATCAATGGTTCATCTTCTATACAGCTGTATTCTCCTTAAGCTCCTCAAGGATTAGATAGATGTGTGGATAAGAAAATCTTTTGCTAAATTCATGTGTCCTAAGTTACTGCATTCATATCTGTTGAGGGATAGTACTTGGAATCGGGATCAGACCCATACAATAGACTTCATTTCACCCTTAGAGCAGAACTGTAGCAGTCTCACTGCTTGGCCTGGCTCATAAGCAACATCTTGGTTAAGTATTGGTGTTGTCCACAATATTCTATGATTACAAGGATGCAGCCTCAACATAAGAACTCTTTGGTGGATCAGAAACTCTGGCATAAGTTCAGTTATACTTACGAGAGTGTTGCCATCAGCTTCCATGAATGGTTTCAAAGCTCAGTGGGGAAGCTGTAAAAAGAGAAAGTTTTGTTTACTTACGTTCCATATTTTAATATAAGTCTTGACAGCAGGGGGGGAAAAAAAAAGTGTTAATACACTTTGACCTGCCAACTTTACACAGCCCACTCCACGCACCCCCTCAAAAAAAGACCTTTTCCAAAGATAATGCTATGTTATGTGACCTGCTTTTACTAATTATGAAGTCATCCAGTGCTAAGGAGCACTAATTCAAAGTTATCCAGGTTTTTCTATGAAATAGAATAAACCCCATGGATGTAGTTGAGGGGTTGTGTTTTGTTTTGTGGAGGTTTTGGAGTTTTGAGGAGGGAGGTTAGGAAATTAATAGAGAATAAGTAAGCAAAAGTCAGGGTGGGAGAGGTTTGTTTGGCTTGGTTTTTACTTTGAAAACAATGTGTAAGGTCTTGATTTAAGTTTGGCTGAGCTATTCTTACTGTTTTCTGGGAATCCTACTTAGCTAACCTGCCCACTCTCCCGATAGTGGACCATTCATTCTATAATTAATTGCTTTTTTTCCTATTGGAGAGAAAACTGTGCAGTCCAACAACAGATGCTAGGGTTTATTTTCCAAAGATACACAAAGTTAGCAGTTACCCATTTAGGTGACAGTTTAGGTGATTTTATTTGGTATAAACAGCAATCAACTCCTTAAATAATTTCATAATTTTCTCTTGACTGAAGAAAATCAATACAGGTACAAGATGAAAGAAAACCTAACAACTTTTTAGTGTCATCAAAGTTCCTGTAGAACTCACCTCTCTGTATATGAAAGAATCATTGAGTGAAGTGGGAAAGGGTATAAGCCTGTTGAAATTAGCAAGAAAGGATTTCCAGAAATAGAGCCACACTTCAGAAGGATTTCTTAGAACAACTTTTTCCTGTTACTAAAACCAGTAGTTTAAGATATGTGCCAATCCTCATACATAATATTTGTTTTAGTTTGAAAATAAAATTTTAAACCAGAAAATGAAACCCCACCTACCAGCTTCCAGCAATTTCAAACCCAAAATAGAAGGGCAAACAAATACATGTTTGTCTGGCTCCCAGCTGTTCCAGTTCAAAAATACAAAGAAACACTTTCTACAGGCGGCTCAAACTAAAGTAATATCAGAATGAAGAGACGTGTTATGGCAAATTATTTCAAGGATGTTTAGAAATCATAGCTAGTATAAACAAGCAGAGGAAACACCTTTAGTTATACAAGCAAATTAACATTGAACCTCAAATACTGTGCCAGAAAGCAAGGGAATAACAGCCAAAATTATAGTAATTATTGTGACATGTGGCCTTTTTCCTGTCATTTCTTCATTTCACGTGAAGGGAAGGCCGGGGTGTAATTGTACATACTGCATATATTTGAATCAGTCTCAGTACCAGGAGCTAGAGGAGAAGTGTTAGTTAACTGGCAAGGAAACATTTCCGTCTGCATGCATTGTGCCAATGGAGTTGAAATGGATTTCAGCAGAACCTTCACAGAGACTTAAACTTCTGTTTAGTTTCCAGACACTGGATAAACAATTTCGAGCCAGCACCCAGTTTTCAAAAGTAGCACTGACTTCTGTCTCATTCCAGTTAAGAGTATAATTTATTATTCCCCAAGTAAAGAAAGGTATTTAAAAAATATGTATATCACTTGTTAACTGCAGAAATAACTCTTACAACCTGAGTTCATTTCTCCTAAGTAAACACAACCTGAGCAAGATCAGTTACGCTGTCAGCATTTTTATGCCTGCTCAAGTGTACCCAGCTGTTGCCAAACCAACATTTTAGAAGGGCATAACCTGTTGATCTCTGCACTACAGTAAAATAATTGTTTCAACTTTCTGCAGGTGCATTGTGGAAAAAAAAAAAAAAAAATCTATCCTTTCTAAATAAACAGCTGAATCCGAAGAGGGAGCTGGATAAATACGACCACTCAAGTAGAGCTAGTCTATACCTACCTTACTGGATGGACCAGCATAAACCTGCAGGGGCTGTCTCTGGGAACTAGTGCCCCCCACCCCTCTATATTCCCATCCCAGACACATCAGTCAACATCCAGCTGAGCTGAGCCACTCACATGCCTTCTATATGGTGGTAGGTGGTCACACCATGGCAGCTCAGGAGCGTGCCCAGGGCTCATGGTTTTGCTGGCAGTAGAGCTTCCCAGCCCATAAAAACTACACCTGAGTTCAGGAGTTTGGCAGGCCAATGAGAGGTTAGTAGGAGGCAATACCCAAGTTCATGCCACCAGGAGGGTGTCCCATTTCCCAAGTGGAACAGCTGCAGCAAGGGAAGACTTGTCCTAGATCACCTCATTTCACAGGACACTGTATTACTGACTGGAAACACTCATAAGTGTACCCTAAGGAGCAAGATGAAGATGTGGGATTTCAGCCCTCTTGTTAAGCCTCTGTGTTTGCAATGAGATAAGATCTAGGAACAGAAGAACAAGGAAACCTTCCTGCCTACAGATTAAGGCAGTCAAATGGAAGAAGTGCACCAGGATTGCAGTATGTTGTGATAGGCGTTCAATTCACTAAAACTGCAAAATGGAATAAAGTAATAAAGAAAAATAATTAAAAAAAAATTAAAACAAGACACAGTGAAGCCTCTCCCACTTCAAATGGCTTTATAAAGGAGAAAAACTTGAATCTCTCTCTTACTGGAGAATAAAACAATGGATCCACTGTATAAAAGCAAAGGGGATGGATTTACATTATCAGTTTATAAAATATACCTACAATTCTTTGGCTTTTCTTAGAGGTGCTGAAAACAACTATTTCAGTCTGAATTGAACACTATGTGTCAAAAGTAGCTTCAGCTAAAAGATTTCTAATTCAAGTTTTTGATTTTTTTTTTTTAATTTTGATTCAATGATGGAACTATAAATAGCAGTTTGCATAGCTTTATTAGTCCCGATTCATTCCTGGTCTTCAAGAGTAACAAACAAGTAGGTACATGAGTAATAGCTGATGCAACATGTATGGAAACACAGCAAGTGACTTATCAGAAATATCTTGCAATTATTTCCATTTGACTATGTCACGTCTTCTGAAATAACTCGAAATATCTCTGTTAAAGAACAAAGACAATGTTAAAGGTGGAAAAAAGGAAAAAAACTCTGAGATTCTAGTGATTCTAACTGCAAAAAGCAATCTTATTTCATTAGTAATATTCCTCTTGTGGATGTCAAAATGTAGGCCTGACATTGCCTCTGACTAGTTACAAGCTACAGTGAGCATGTCGATCTGCAACAATATTGGAATAGGCCTGCCAGACATGCTTTCCAAGCATCCCTCAGATGACATCCAGAATGGGCATATGCCTTCCTGGTTCTGAGCAAAATATTTGAGATATGTAACATGACTCAAACTATCTGTGTTGCAGAAGCACCCAAAACATGCGTAGCTCAGTTCCTGTTCAAATGGCATTGACACAGACTACCCCAAAAAAAAAAAGTCTGCTTTGCCTAATACCAAGTCAGAGCCGTGACAACCTAGAAAACCATGTTTTTGCTTTCCTTCTGTTTGTATTTCTCACACTGATCAGCAGCTTTAACCTCTCTGCTTGCTTTCTGTTTATTTGGTTGCCTGCAACAATCTGCACTTCAATGGGCAATGAATTGACAGGCGATAGGAAACGAGTAGTGCTACAAAAATTTCCCTAAAAAAAAAAATAAAAAAAAAAAAAATAAAAAATCAATGTTTACTTAATCCCATATCTCATAAAATCACCCCAAATTATACCAGCGCTTGAAGTGCTGTCCTGTGGCAAGGACACAGCCTTACATAATAGTCCTACATTACCTCTGACTGGGGTTCTTCCAACAGTGCAGGGAAAAATAATCAGTAATTGTAAGCTCATAATTGTCCTTTGGGTTATTAAAGATCTATTTACTCTGAGAAAACCTTTCCATTAACTACTAATTAATCAGATCAAGACAGTTACTTAACTGGTTAATTAGCTATCTAAATTGATTATCTTACCTGTATGAGGAGTTTCTTGATCTACAAATTTTCTCATTTACTGGCTTGTCAGGAAAGTTGGATATTAAGCTGGTGCTTTGCCACAGGGCAAGGACAAACAGGCATCAAGGCACTTTTCATGAAAAATGAAAAGTGCCTTCATCCTGTCCTGGTTAAGTTGTGTCCCACCCCCTCAGTCCCCATGACTTCATGTTTCCAATTGCAGATGAAACTGCAGATTCACCATTAACATCAGGAAAAACAAGCCTATTAAAGCATAATCATGTCATCGTTGTCAAAGTATATCTTCAGCTTTGGCCACAATGGATAAATTTAAGCTTGTTAAATAAATATTACCCTTTGAAAAGCCGCAAAGTTTCTTATCACTTGCCTAGCAGCAAGAAATTGCATTTGTCACATGGTAACGCCACTGGTCACAACTTTATTTTCAAACGCATTTGAAATTATTCAATCCCCTCACCTGCAAGCAATTCAAAAAGACAACTCCTGACTCCGTGTGGGAGAAGGCCAGGAAAAACTGGAACAAAGTTTGCTGCTCCCATCTCATAGACAGAAAGGGTCTGGAGACATCACCCTCCTTGGATCACAGCCAAGTCATCAGTCCAGCCAGGAAGCCCAAGAACAGCAGGTTACAGGTGTTGACAGCTCTAAGCAAGCAGTTGCAGGAGCCCATGCTCAGCACCTTTGGGAGAAGGGCTGGAGAGAAAGAAGAGGTTCAACAGAAGAGAACGGGTGTCTCTGTGGCCTCACAGACAAAAGCGAGGTATCAAAATGGAATGCCTAGTGAAGCGTGTATGCCCCAAATGAGTTGGCATGCAGACTTCTTATAGTGTTGAGCTGATTCCTAGTGCTGGTATGTTTGAAGGCCAGGTGCAATACTACGATTACTACTGCCTCCTAGCTGGCTCTTTTGCTGTGGCAGGCAAAGTTAAGTTTGCTGCAGAAACGGATGAAGTGTTAGTGCAGTTAAAGGGTAACAAAACACTCCAGGTCTAAAGGACTTCCCTGGTGGTGTCTTCTCTCCCAAAGATGAACAATTCTTTGCTACCCCAGAAGATGAAACAGAGGGGAGGAGGGGGAAAAAAAAAAAAAAGGCCAAAGTCTATAGCCCCTCCTAAGACAAAATTCTAAGGAGTTTCTCTTGAAGCAAGTCCCTTAGAGATGGAGAGGGAGAATTGTTCCCTCCCCTGCTTTTTCAGATCAGCTGTTCAGCAAACACAGTTTTGAAGAAACACTCAAGATCCAGCACCTAAAGAGAGAACGAGGGGGATGTTCCCCCCAGCAAAAAGGCGCAGAACTGCTGCAGTAATCATAAACGTGGATTATCTCAGTGATAAGAAGCTGGAATATCCTCACTGGAAGGCAATACTGGCAAACACTTGCTGTGAAGACATTGCAGAAGGTTTAATTTTTTCAATTATACCTTCCATTGGTTGCATAAATCATGGCAATAAGCAGCAGGAAAACAGTTTGTGAATTTGGAGGATGAGGTTCAGAGGAAAAAAAGAAAGAGAAAAGGTATTATCATAAAAATTAACTAAATTTCCTAAAATAAGACTAATTAAAAAAGAAATTCTGCCAAATAGAGCTGACATGGAGAGTCTGTCTGGCACACCCTGATTTCTAGCCCTGCCCTGTGTCATTCCAAGAATGAACTGACTTTGAGGCTGTGTGAAACGAGTCCTCATTCTTGACTTTTGAAGACTACAATGCCCAACCTCTCCAGCGGGCTTTGGGAAATCTTA